TGGGGTAAGGCATGCGCGTCCGTCTTTTTTAAGGCGTTGGTACCCCCTTATCAGAGGGTCCAAGTACCTTCTGAGGATTGCTTTTGCGGGGTCAAAAGGGGTCTACGTACATCCTTAGAAGGTACTTGGACCCTCTAGGCCCTTTGTTTGTGGTCTTTGCAGTTGGGATGGTCAACAAATTCGCCGTGGAGTTGAAAAACCCTCTTGGTTTGCGATGGTTCTGTATGGAACATGTTGGAGGGTCCAAGGGAATTGTCAAACACCACCATGGAGTTGGCAGCCCCAAACATTTTGAGGGGTGTTCGAGGTTCGAATTGTCCAGCGTTTTGGAGTTGGTTTCCACCTTAAGAAAAGGACGAGCCGTCTTCCGATTTGGGTTTTCCCCGGCCCGAAAAAAGATGGCCCCAAGAGGCGAAGGGCGCCTTCTGTGGGAAACCTTGAGAAGGACGGAACCCAACAAACGAGTGGAAAACCCCCAGCCCAACCAATGGGAAGTTCGTTCCACCCAAGAACCCCCAGGCAAAAACTGGAGATCAAAGTGAACATATAGTTGACTTCTACCCCCCATCTTCTGCTGAAAAAGTGGTTTGGGCCTGGACATCATCTTGGATGCCCCGCCTAGCTCCTGTCTCCAGTCGCAAGTACTCGCTGTGGATGGCCCGAAGACCCCAGCTCGTGTCGGGGCGGCCAAACATGCGGGGCCAGTTTTTTTCCACCCGCCCAAAAGGCCTCCCTTTTGACGTGATCCCACCCCTAACTTCGACAACCCCCTAGTCGGACACGCTCGAAATCTGGGAGTGAGACAGGTAGACACGCTCCAGACTTTGGCATTGGACGCATGTTTTGTACGGTACAGAAAGGAGGGGCTGGCTCTCATTTGGATTCCCTTTCAAACAAACGTGAAAGGGTAGCCTCAGAACAGACGACCCCAAATCGCGCGACAGGGGAATCAACCCTAAAGCCACACATGGGCTTGTCTCAAAGGGGCGGCAGCTTCCTTTTGGTGCTCTCAAAAAAGACACCCGCATGTGGTTTTCCTGAAACTCAACTTCCTACTGGCTCATGTGGAGCCTCCAAAAATCAGGGACTTTTCTCAGGATAGCACCGGGTCCCCACACGTAAAGACGCGCTCCATAAAACCGTCCCCCAATTCTTTTCCTCGAGGAGAAAAGGTGAAAAGGCAAGGAGCCTTTCAGCACCGCAAATCGCGCCAAACGGCCTGCGAAGGAGCTCAGGCAACCAAACAAGGCCTTGCTTGAGCCAACGCCCGCGAAATCCTCGACTCACATCTTGGACACAATTTGCCTCGGCCTCTGGCAAAAGGAGCGCAAACCGCAACCCCGTGCAAGAGTGCATCGCCAAGGCTCAGCCCGAAGACGCGAGGGGACACCGCCACGTAGTCGTGCACCGTCTGCAACACACCTGCGGCCACCGCCGGGATGTCCTTGCCCATGATGCTACAGACCATCCTCAGCTTGCAGCTTGGGGAGGCAACTCCGGCAAAGACTCCCTTGCTCCGGTCGAGGGGCGGGGGAAAAAGCCATGGCTTCAAAAAAGCAACAGTTGGATGCGTCTTGCTTGAGGCTTGGCACCCAACTTTTGAAGGTTGGTTTGGAGGCAAGTCAAAATACAAAGCGAAGCCCGCTGTTGGCGGTCCAAATTACAATATCGACAAATACCCATTTCGTTGGCAACTCCCTGTTTAAGCCATGCTTCAGCTTGTTTAGACAGCCTCTTGTTTACTCCGTTTCAAAGGTAGCCGGGGTTGGGTTGGTTTGACACGGCTCGAGAAAAAGCAACAACAAATGGAAAGAACTCGGGACAACGTTTAACCAACTTGTTTCTGGGATAGATGATCAAATGGCCCAAACAAGCGAAACGGGGGCTTGGTGAACCAAACAGGAACTTCCCCTGTGTGTTGCGACCACTAAACAGAAAGCAGCATTGGAGATTTAAAAAAAAAAAAAAAAAAAAAAAAAAACGTGGAGATGGAGAAGCAACAAATGGATCAACAAATGGAGCTAATGGTTCATTGTGTCTCAAGACACGCATGTGTGTGTGTGTCTCTAAGAGGAAACCCGGTGTCGAATTCTCGGGGTCGACCCGGCTGGCTCACAGGGACCTGTGTCTCTCTACCCAAACCCAGAAGACCAAAAGCGACGCAGATAGAAGTCGACCTGAAGGGAGCCCATTGGGTATTTTGCAGGGGTCCCTGAACATCCCCTAACACATGACCCCTACCAAGGGAAACGCACCTTAAATTTGGCATAACATGTGATGCTCCAACTGACCCCTGTTTTGAGCGGGGAGCCCATCCAAGAAAAGGACGGGAGTGTGAGGGCCTGACATGCACCTAACCACTAGGACTCGCAGGGGCTCAATGAATAGTTGCATGCTTACTTGGCTGGCTTTGTGGGGTCTGACTTGCAAAGGCCAAATGGGTCTGACTTGCAACATCACATCACTGTCTTGGGGTTGATCAAAGGAAACAAAGACACAAACAACCATTTACAGGGGGGCTCCCCATGTTCTGTCACTTAACACTCAGAGGGACCAAAACTGGCTGGCGTCCTTCTGGTTTCCCCTGAAAAGCCTGAAAGCTAAGAGCTAATGGAGCCACCAAGCTTAGAACCCTACTTCTTTCCAGAGCGGTTAGAACCTTGCCGCCAAGTCTTTCCTGCGAAAAATTCTTGGCTCGGGCGAATCATGACCCGAAAGGTTGTGGATCAGAACAGAAAGAAAGTTCGAACCTGAAGCCTGCCTGTGGGCCAGCGAGTTGCTTGATTTGTCCAGACCCAATTGGGCCTTGGGCCTTGCGCGCTTCCTTGACCAACTGAGTTCGATCGCAAACACCTGGCAAGCCCGCAAAACAGATGGGTACGATGAACCAAACGCCTCACTTGCGATGTGAGCGATTTCCCCGACCCAACCAACCCTCGAAAAAAAAGGACCTTCCAACCCAAAAACCACCCCACCCCAAACGAAGCCCCAGCCGCTGGCGGCTCGCCTCCTTCGCCTCCACCGGTGCCACCTCCGAGCTCGAGGCCATGCGCTGGGCCGACAGGTTGTCCACCACCTGCCCCGCTGCGAGCTTCGACCCCTCCACCCCCCCCAAGTCCCAGCCCACCCTTTCAGGTGAAGGCACAGCTATGTGGCCATGGGTCAAAATCAGGGAAAACCAAGAGGTTAGGGAAACCAAAAGGTCAGATCCTGGCCGGGTGGCCCCACTCCTTTTGGGGATGATGACCCCCCCCCCCCCCCCACCCAGGTGGCGGGCGGTTATTTTTGTCTGCGTGTCTTGTTTTTGGAGTTTTGGAGGTGTATTTGTAGAGGGAGCGCGGTTTAGAGACAAGCCCATTTTGGCCATGGGTCAAAATCCAAAGCCCGTACCCCCAGTGAACATCCGATTCAATCTCCTGAAACAGGTTCTAAAATGGGTGGTGCACCTACCCCAAAAAATGTTTCACGGAACCTTCTCTTCAAAAAGGGGGCCAAACCTTGAAAAATGAGTGGTTTCTAGAGAGAACGGCTGAAGAGACTGGGGAATCAAACCTTAGATGTTCGGGATGTGTCGGTTGCAGGCAGGGGACCAAAAGGGGAGAAAAGCAAAGACTGAAGAGAGCCACCAACCAGAAACAAGATGAAACTGGGCAAAGCAAGACACCAAGAGGGCATCGACAGAAAGGACGCACCGGTCACACCCAGAAACTGAAAGACCAGTTTTAAGAAAGTGTGTCGACCCAGCAAACGGGTACGCCCCTTCTCATTTGGCTTCACTTCAGAGCAAGCCCAGAAAGGATCCTGCCACCTTCCCATCACCTGCCCCGCAACATGTTTACTTCCTGCGCGGTCCCGAACGTGCCAAACAAAATGGATTGCTCCAAGCTCACGAGCAACAGGTCGCGATGGAAAGCCAGTTTCCACAAGGTCTGCCCTAATGTTGACCCAGGATTAATAAACCCGTCCCACTATTAGGGGGGCGTTCCCTCCAAAAGTAATGAATCCCCACTAAAAGGGGACACCCCGCTATTAATCAACCAGGGATTTATGAATCCGGGGTTAACATTACGGACATGACCTTAGGACGTCCAAACGCTTGGGACGATTTGGTCACAAAGACCAGGCATGGAAAGGGCCCCCAACAGCCAACACAGCGAGATCCAACGAACTTCCGTTGCTTCTCTCGCGGCTCACGAAGCCATGTATGAGTCACATGTTTTCGGCAACGCACGAAAGATGCGCCAAACTCAAACCCAAGCTAAGACGCCTACCCTCAAAAAGCAACAACACCCCCCGAGCGCCAACCAAGAAACAACTCGTCTCCGTCCTCTCATTTCCCTTTTTGCGCCGGGCTGAGAACCCCCCTCGAGTTTGGGGGGGGGAGAAACCCCCTCGCGACCGGCCACCTCCACTGGCCGGTAAACGAACCGCCCCCCCTTGGTTGACGTTGGAAGGGGAGCAAAAAAAAAAGAAAGCAGTTCAGTGGTTGGATTTCAAGCAACAAGCAACACTGTAACATGTTTGTTTCCCAACAACAACCACGCCCTCCAAAGCATCTCCACCGGCCGAAACCAACCCCCCCCCGAAGAATGAAACGAACGCAACCGCGTCCGCGCCGTGGGGAGGTTGCGGAAGAGGCTCTCCAGGGGGAAGCTCAACATCGAGCCCACTGCCTTGGCCAGGCCGCACCTCGAAGCGAAAAGAAGCGAGAAAACGTCTACGACACATCCACGTGGCGAAGATCCGCTTGCAAGAATCCGGACACCAAAAATGGACTTCGGTGTTCCAGTTTGTTGGCTTCCCTTTAAAGGGAACCAACTCGGAAAAAAACAAGGACACAAGCCCTTTAAGACCCTTTTGGTCAACTGACTTCGTACGCAGCGCATCAAGCGCCGCGCCCTTGTAAAACCGTAACCCAAAACAGGGGCACCAGCTCAAAAAACACACACAACCACAAACAAGGATTGCTTGGCCGTTTTGAGACCCAGAGTCAGTTCAGT